ATAATGGTAGAAATAGAGAGAAAAATACTAGAAACATCTCAATCAGAGAGACATTCCACCCAAAGATCAAGAATTTAGGACACTGAGGTCAAGGTCAAAATTTCTAATTTGGATTTAGGAGTCACCTATATAGAGAGGATAATCTTAACCCATGAGATTGGATGTATCTGTCAGGGAAGAGAGTACAGAGAGAGTCAAGAAGTAGCCAAGAGCACATCCGAAAGAAACACATATTTAAAGAGTTCAGAGATGGCAGTAAAACCAGCTGGGGAGATAGGAAGAGAGTGCAACCATGCGGCAATGTTCAAGGTGGGCATGTTCAACAATGTGCAATGCCGAGAAGAACCACAGGGCACGATGACTGATCAAAACCACTGAACTTGTCCCCGGGGAGGTAACATTTCCTTGAAGTTCAAGAAATACGGGAAATAGTGGCCCTTTGGAAAGGGAGAAGAAAAGTATACAGGCTAAAGGGGAGGACACAATGGATTGGGGGAAATTTGATAAGAAAAGATCCTTGAAGCTAGTGGATAAGGATGGAATCCACACCTACTTCTCACCCAACATTCCCATAGCCCAAACAGAAGTAACTACGACTCATTCCCTTTGTCCTTGCCTAAAGTCTAAACCGTTTCACCTGGGCCGTCAGAACTCCACTTTTCATGTTCCTGCTTTTCTTGGATCCTGGACCCTGATGACATCCCTGTAGACTTGAATGCTGTCTTGGCAACAGATACCTAATACCTGCCTCTGAAACTGAGTGTGGTGTCTCTCTTGGTCCACAGCCCACAATTAACCTTTTGAATTTTGCTAGCTCCATCTAGAATAGGAAAGCACCCTACCCCAGTATTTTTAGGGCAAGAATTGAATTTAGAATGTATGCAATTTCATTCTTTTTTCAGATACAGAAAGAAAAGAGAATACAAGGAGATGAATATTGAGAAAAAGTTCAAGCTGGAGATGAGGAAGGTTTGTGTCAGATGGCCCATAACCTTTCAGTGAAGTCTAAGACAGTCACCTACAAAGCATGAAGCTGGCAAGGACAGTTTCAAGAGAATAGGAAAACTCACATGTAAGTCTAATTACAATTTGTATTGATTTTCCAAAGCTGACTTCCATTTTAATTTCATAGTATGTCATACTCAGAGTTATTAAACTCTCATGCCACAAATGGAAAATTTCAATGTTATCAAAGAGCTTTCTGGCAGCTCTTTATCAAAAGACATTCTATGTTCTCTACGAAAGAAAATAACAGTAAAGTGAATAATCAACTTGAACTTTCATACACAAAGCCTTTTAAGACATCCATTTCTAAACACTCTTAATGAGGCCATTGGAGTTTAATGTTTAAATGGACCCAGTAGTTATCCCACCGCTACTTGGTCCTAGTACATTTCATTAACCAAAACAAACAGACAAACCCAGAAAACCATGTGAGATTGACTTTGCAGGGGGAATAGTGCGGGGTTGTTTAGGGATTCTGAGGTAAGGCGGGATTTGAGAACCTACTGCACCTGTAGTGTAGCAGAAGAGAATGGTGACATTAGACTGGCTGCACTCAGATTGTGACTATCCAGCTACTCAGCATGGACAAATAACTCTCCCAAAGCCTCGGTTTCTGATAATAATACAGTAATAATAATATAGCCTGTTAAAGAGCAGCCATAATGTAGACCTCATAGGACTTATATGAAGGTTACATGAGATGAGTCAAACATTAGGATTATGAGCATAAGTTCCACCATCAGGCTGTTTGGGTTTGGATACTAGCGCTGTCTATTTATGTGAGAGCTTAGGTAAACCACTCCCTCTGCCTCAGTTTTCTCATCTGCAAAACCAGAATAATAATGTGTTCTTTACAGGACTGTTGTGATGGCTGAATGAAGTAATAATGTAAACACCTAACTTACCATCTAAAACACAGTGTTTAACAAGTACCATCTATCATTATATAAATTATTAATCAGAATAGAGAAGATATAGTCAACACTCTCCATTAATGGTTCCAAATTATTCTAAAGGTCAAGTTTTCAATTTTTCTTCAACCTGATTTTGATCTAACATTAAATATTGGTTTCTCTAAAGCCTAAATGGCAATGCTAGCATTCTAGCTACCATAAGTGGAAGACATTTTTATGCAGTTACAGAAAGTCGGGCTTCTGAGAACTGAGAACTAAATTATCTTAGAATTAAGGTGCATTTAACACTGAACCCAAGCAGTACACATACAGCATGAATGGCTGCAATATTTTAAAAGCTAATCTGACCTGAACAAAAATGAAAAGTAATTGAAAGCTGAAAAACTGCCATAAAAATCAGCCACAGTCAATAATGCCCTGAATTGGCTACAAAATACTATGAAAGAATAATTCTAGGTAGACCATAAGGGTCCCGTTGCCAGGGCACTGCTGTGAAAGAGCATTGTGAAGACTGATACATATTGACTAGAGTTATTTTGATCTCATAAAAATTAAGTTCTTCCTAGTTGTGTTAAACACAGTCATCATTGACTTCTTGGATGTCTTTTTCTCACTAGTTTCCATGCACATTTTATACAAGTGAGTGGCACATAGGACATGCTCAATGTACATAACAGTTGCATAAATCGATGAAGTATGAGGAGTTCCCTAATCCTCAGCCCGCTGCCAATGGATGCTGCTCCTGCTGACAATCCCTAATATATCAACTCATTGCTACCACCAGGCACTTCCAGGTCCTGTGATAGCCTGAGTCTTGGCTCAGGACCATATTTTTCTCCTGGAGATGAAGTGGTTCAGACTCCAACTTTTTGTTTCTGCTTCACTTGGGTTATCTCCCAAATATGGCTTCACTCCTGGTGACTCGGTCTTGCCTGGCTCCACTTCAGCCTCCTTTCCCCTTGCAAGGCCCTCACCTACTTCACAGGTGACCTGAACTGTGTCTCTGCTTCCTCTTTTCTGCTCTCCATAGCCATCCCCCAGGGAGGAGAAGCTCTAAGGCAAAGGCGCCACCCACAGGCTCCGAGATCAGGCTTTCGGACTGTGCGTGCCTGCTGTCTCTGCCCTTCAATTCCCAATGTGTGGAGAGGAGGACAACCTTCCAAGGCCAGGCAGAAGGGAGGTCATAAGATTGTTAAGCATTCTCAAGGCTGAAGTCCATTACCTTTTTCTATTGATTCTCTTACCATTTTCTCCCTGAACATTACAAGAAATTTGAAAGAAACAAAAGCTCTGTCTAATCTCCTGGAGTGGCTCTAGCTTTAGCTAAAACCTTTGGCTTACTCTTCAAGTCCCTTCAACACAGGTGACTTGAAGTTTGGGCTTCCTCATCCACCACTTTCCAGAGAATTACAGACGAGCATTTCCAGTGATAATAAATATAGTCTCCTGCTCGCCTGCTATGGAGAAATTTTCACACCTAAATAGGGGTGTACTTTGAAGGATGCCCGGGGTAGTGGCTGGATCTGGAAGCTTCAATAGCAGTAGAAGAGTCGCAGCTTATCTTGGCCTAGATTGCTCCTATCATTTATCTCACTCAGTTTGAACTGGAAGAAAGCCACTTAGATAATGTATTTCAGGGCGTTCTGGACAGTCAGTCCATTTGGGCCATCTAAGTGGAAAGAGCTGTGATTCTGTCAGATCACTGTGTCTACTGACAGAAGCTGAGTCAGTGTACCTCACATCAAGCTCAGATGTGTGCATAATTATTCTCAAACAGGTGGCCTCCTTAGGGACCATCTTGGACTGATGCCATTAGGATGGCCTGACTCTAGCTTTCTCCTCCTCTTTCCATTTAGGTAGCCAGTCACTGTGCCACTTATAGGCCCCAAACAGAAAAGGGAAGTGGAAAAAGTCAGATTTGGTCAATTTTGAGGCCCTTACAGAAGAATGTGTCATGTGACCCCTACCACAGTATAAGCCACATCATAGAGTCATCTATTACTCCACAATGTCCTAACAAGCTCTACCAATCTAAGCAGTCTTAGGGTTTATAGCCTGTGACCACATCCATTTATCCCTAATATTTCTCTCAATGTTATATGAAAAGTATTCCATGGAGCTCTATGCCCATTGCATTCTATGTAAATGACATCCCCAGGAGCAAAACACTGTGGCAGCTTTTGTGGTTCCACTGACATGGAAACCACTGGTGGACAGTTTTTAGAACTAGCTAAAAAAAAGTATTTTGATAAATACTTTCACCAAAAGGCTGCATTCCTACTTTTTCCCTCTAGGTCTCAGAACTTGCTGTCTGCCTCAGAGCTGGTGTTTTGATCCCATAGACTCCTAGCTTACCTGTACCTTGTCCAAATGCTGGCAGCCAACATAGCCTTTGAGATAGGCTAGGAGTACCATAGGAGACTTCCATTATACTCACCACACCGTGTGCACTGCCATCCTGTGCTGGGAGCCTCCCTTCTGATGGGCTGCATCTGTCCCTCTCAGGATGTGGTACAGATCCAAGTACTCTGAGACTTTTTCTATCCTCTCTGTGAGAGTACCGCAACTAAAAACACCATCATTTGGTAAACATTGGATTGGGGCACAATTATATTCTGGATAATTGCCTTACAATACTGTGAACCTGGGTCACTCTGGGTTGCTGCTAGCAATACTGAATCAATTTTGTTGAACTGAATCAATCCAAATATGAGAATATAAAGGCCAATTCTCCAGAATAATCTCAAGACATCCTGTGATGTGCTTCACTTGGCAGTTCCGACTGTCAAAAGCCTCTACCATGTTGAGAGTTTATGGAGTATTATGCGATATATGTGGGATGTATGTTTAGTTCCTCATGCTTCTGCATTCTGACTTCTACACTTACCAAATTGCTTAAGGAAACAAGTAACATAAAAGGCCCAAAATGAATTTAAAAGCCACAAAGATGATCTTCTCTGTATTTATTTTTGCACATGCAACCTCTCGGGATTTTTCCTTCCTCTAGTGTATGCTCTGAATATACCCTGGAGGAATGTTTCTTAAAATACAGTTTATATACCATAACACAATCATATACCAGATTCATTTCAAGTTCTTGCTACACATGTGCTTGCTTATGGGCCCCACTCCAGACATACTGAATCAGATTCATTGAAAATGGGCTTAAAAATATGTAATTTAAACAACCACAGCAATCCATTCTCATATGCACTAATATTTGAAAAATACAGCTATGGCAGCATCCTTCATAGCTCAACCCTGATTCAGAATCTTCACAAAACTTTAGTATAAATTCACCACTACCTGTGCTCTACCCTATCCAATGAACTAGTCAAAGTTACATGATATGGGAGAGAAAGTTGGAACCACCTGGAACCATCAGCATGGCAAGGAGGCACTGGCAACACCCAGCAGAAGAATCAAGGAACTGTCTAATCAAGAAAAGGTTGTGTTAGTAGATAGAGAAAGACAATATAAAAGAGGCAATCATGTGACCAATCATTGGCTAAAGCAGAGGAGTTTGTAGTTTAGGCAGTTCCATACTATAGCCCTAAATATCTCCAGTGTCAGCTCTTATATCTCATGAAGTGAGAGACCTCTTGTAGGTAAGATGCCTATACACATAAGTCTCATGTCTTCTATCCAAAGTACCAACTATATTAAGCCACGCCAAAAACCAAATCCAAATTTAGGCAGAAGTTTATTAGCTCCTGTCCTAAAAGTTTCTCAAGTAGTGTTTGTTTCATACTTAGCTGGGTAAGATAGTCATCAGAGATTGGAATTCAAGCTTTATCTCTCAGACAGATATTTGCCCTATAAGGGGTAATGATCACCAGCAGATCACAACATCCATCCTATTGACTTAATCCAGCCTGAGTTAATGGGCCCAACTTTGAAAATAAGTTAATGTCCTGGGAAGGACATCCATCAGCCCAAATTAGGGTAATATATGTGTTTCTTTACAGTGAAAGAGTGATTATCATGAGGATCAAGGTAACCAACTCATCCCACATTTCCTAGGATTCTTTCAGTTTTAAAACTGAAGGTCCTATTTCCCAAGAAACCCCTCAGTCCCAGGAAATCCAGGAAGGCTGTCACCCCAGGTATGTGAGGTCAGCCTTATGCTATGTGGGATGAATTGTCCACAGGAAAGAACATTTCTGTTACAAGATGAAGAGGTGTGAGGGACTGGAAGGAGTCAGAATAGTCACCTTAACCCAGGCTGGATCCATCTAGTATGGGTGGTAAATGTCCACAATCACCCCCCTTCTCTGCAGCTACACTGGGGGAAGACTGTTTTTCAGATCAGGCTGAGTGTTCCAGGACATGAGGATTCTCTTCAGGGTCCTTTGCACCCTCTCTAGCACTCTTAACTGATCCTACTTCCTGGCTTGGCCTGTCTCTGACTCTCTCCTCTGTGACTTGACAGCTTGCTGCTTGGCTTTCATTCCTGTGTTCATCCTGTTTCTTTAACTCACAGAGTCTTGGTCCTGTAATACTGCAGCTGCATCATGCTTGGAACTGGTCTGCTATTCCTTCACAAGGTCTAAGCAGCCATCTGCAATTGAGATCTAGTCAAGCCTCCCTGTTCATGAAGTTTACCACTGCTCCCACGCGCTGCCAGGTGGGATTCTACATCACTTTCCACCAATATCCCCTGCTGAATTTCGAGGCAAAGGCTTAATACTTATACCTACTAATTCTCTGATGTCACACACACACACACACACACACACACACACACACACACGCTCACGCACTTCTAGTATTTATTTCACAAATGAAAACACTAAGATTCAGAAGAATAAAGTAAGTTGTCCAAATTCAGAAAACCAGTTAATTCTAAAGTTCTATCTCAAAACTGTGAGCTCTTTCTACTGTGCCTTATTCTATCAAATAATATGATGGTGGTAGCTAGTTAAAGTAGTAAGTCACAACTGACAATTTCTGAAGACTATTATTTTTAAAAATTCTGCTCTCCTGCTCTTTCTTTCTTTTACTTATAACCTTATATATTACAAGAACTCGATAAGGGCAAAAACATTTGACTTTTTTTCAGAATTTTGAAAACTAACCTTTACTTCTACAACTTGAACAATGAAGAAATATTTTTAAATAGGGCTGGGGGTTTAGCTCAATAGCACCACGGCCGCTCCACAAGCGCAAGGTCCTGAGTTCAATCCCTGGTACGAAAAAAAAAGAAAAATATATAAAAT